TTGCCTTTTGAAATTTTCTGATGTTTCTTTCTTCATAATAATCTATCCTGTCGTGTGCTTATAATTTCTTGAGCAGTTAAATATTTTAATAGCTACCATTCTTGATTGCAGCAATAAAGGAATATCAGAGGTGCTTACTGGAAAAAAAAAGTATTTGTTAGTCTTTATTTAATAACTTTCTAGAGTAGGTCTGTTGACAGTCTAATTTTATCTATTCTGTCTAAAGGTGGTTGTTTTAAGTGTCTTGAGTTGAGCCATGAGGCTTCACCTTTTTTTTCCATTTTGAAATAAAATTTTTTGAGCCACTCAGTGGGAATGAGTCCATGCTTACACTGCATTTTTAACTTAGTAATTGCATTTTCAATTCTGTAATTGTATTTGCTCTTTGTATATATAAATACATAAATGACTTCAAAATAAATTGTATAACGAATTAATTTTATGCATTTGAATTGAATAGGGTAAGTCAGACTTTAAATTTCTCAATAGAATAGAAAATCTGTTGGAACTGATGATGGTTCCACTAGACTACCTGTAGCTTCAATATTAAGTATTTATTTCAAAAGGAATTTAGCCCAAAATGAAATTTGAAAATTTAAAATTCCATCTTAAGAAATGGAAACCAATTGTTGTAGTTATGGGTTTGGCAATTAAGTGCTAACAACCTGAGCACTCCAGTTAGTTCTTTGGCTGTTGATTAGGATTCCATGGTGATTAGTAAGTGTGAGAATGCAATCACATCCCTAGGTGTAATCAGTCCCGTGCTGGATGAGGAAGTCCAAAGATGGAGAAAGTAAAACTTCTATATGTAATCTTAGAGGGGTTTTCCCCATGCTGTAAGAAGCTGAACAGTTAAAAGTAGAGAAGCCTATCTTTTCACCCCTCTCCAAACTTCCAGGGTTTTTAAATTATAGTAGTGATTTTTTAGTACCATGATGCAGGAGAATAATGTTGCTGATACCTGTGAAGGGTAGACAAGATGCATGGTGATACTCACATAGGCACCATCTCTGATGTTTAGAATTTCGTTCTTACACTTGTGAGCAGGATTTGTTTTTCCATACCATGCAACCATGCATCTGGTTTTCTTTTTTCCAAATACTAGTATTTTAAGTGTTTAGCTTGGACATTTACATTATTTTGGTGTGCTTTATTTTCTTTTGTTATATGTTCTGATTATACACTGTCTTCTAACATTTAAAGCATGTATCCTAAAAAAAAAATTTGTAAATATGAATATTTTTTCTTCTGCTTTCCTGTGAAACAGATAAGTAAATGTTTATGTGTGCAGAAACAAAGAACCATGGTGGGTACCCTTGTAGACAAACCCCAAAAAGAAAACCTTTGGATCTCTACTCAGCACATAACTTCTCTGTGACCTTTCTGACTGAGCAAAGGTGACCATGTGCTGCATCTCCCCTTGGAACTATCTCCAAGGGTGTATTCTTAACTCGGAGAAGACACGGTGGTGTTATTTTCTGACAGCGCGAGCAATCCTCCTACTACTGCCTTTCGGTTCGCTGCTGCTGTCCCACCTTTTCTCTCCTCTGCTGTGCCGAGCTCATTTTTGTAAATAACATTTCCCACTTCTGTTTGGTGGTTTGGGGTTTTTTTGGTTGTGTTATTTTCCATAAGCACCTATAGATCTGTACTCATCATATATTCACCTAAGGAAAGGTTGTTCCTACCCTGCAAAGCTTATAATCTAACTGCAGGAATCATGTCTTAAAGGGCTGTTTTCTGAGAGCATGTTGTGATTCAGATTATGATGTTTGAGTTGAATGGCAGGAGCCGTTCATTTTATGTGTATTCATAGAGTGTCTTAACACAATAGGTGTGGGTGAGCTTTGAAGTGTCTCAGTGAAAATAATTAGCAATGAGTATGGATAGACACCTCAGCCTGTAGAAAGGTTAGGAAATTCCTGAGGCTCTTTTATTTGTATTTAGACTATGATATCTAAATGGCCATAGTGCCTTCCTGAACTGACCATCAGTCTGGAGAGACCAAACACATCAATTAATTAGCAACTTCCCAGGAGTAAAATGCCAAATATTTTCAAAAGGACTACATATTTCTCAGTTCCTGTTAGCTGTCCTCTGCTTTTATGCTTGCACTGTGTATTACAGAAAACTGCTGTACATCAGAACTGTGTTTTTTCATTTTGTTTACATTTGGTTCAGTTGACCTTTGCCTCCTAAGGAAGCAAAAAAATCACTAGGACTATATTAACTGTATTTTATAGATCTCTGAACTGGATTCTGCTATTCTGCTTACATCTAACAGGTTTTTTTGAAATAAACTATGTCATATTGTATCATATTAGAATCAAAAATAGTACATCATTACAGACATACAAACAAAGCTTATAGGGAAGGAAATATCTCTGTTAGGCAATGCTTGAATCTTAAAAGGGGTCCAAAAACATAAATAATTTTTTGAATACACAAGTTCTTTTTAACTAGAGTCACTGATGATAGTGTTTTTTCCTGAAGAGTGATCATACAAATTACTTCAAAGACAGAGAAAAGAGAAGGAAGGAAAAAAAAAAAAAGAAAAAGATATCTTCTCTTTAGCTGTATTGGTGGTATTTACATCTTCAGTTTCATGGTTCTTACCTCCAAAACTCATTCAGTGTAATGTCATGGAATCATAAAAGCTGTCGGTGCATGTAAGGAGTGACAGATTGGTAAGTGGAACACAAGTGGACTAAAACAAAGTAGCACTGGGCACCCATTTCTGTTTCATCAAGCTGCACAGACCTGCATAATATAGCCCAGTACAAGTCTGTATCTGAGTGCACAGGACACCTGCTTGTCATTAGCAGCTGAGCCTCCAGCACCACTGTAAATATCAGGGAACAAATTGACACCAGCTACGGTGTTCAGGTGTGCTTTTGTTCTTTCAGCCCTACCATAACCATGGAATGCTCTCAAGTGCATGTGGGTCTATGTTCACTTTTCACTATGTGCCACACAACATCCTGAGGGAGCAGTAGAGTTTATAAACCTGACTTGAAGGCCAGAGATGAGGCTGAATTAATGTAAAAGTCCCATCTCTTGTTTCCAGGAAGAAACAAACCACAGTGATTAACAGCATTACTACATTTGCAAGTATCTAAAGTTAATCTAAGTAATCTCATAGTCCTCAAAGCTGTAGTAGTAATATGTGGGGGTTTCCCCCTACTAACATAAAGAAAATAGTACTTCAGTTAATCTACTACTTTGGAAAAATAAACCATTAGGTGGAAAGATGCTGGCAAAGAAAAGCTAAGTGAACTAGCTTTGCTGTGAAATTTCAGTAATCTTCCTTCTGGCCTTGGCTGCCAGACAGATGCTGAAGAAAAGCTTAAACATCCTCCCTCCCCTGTGCATATTATTATTACATGCCTCTGGAACTTTTTTCTTCTGCTCTGTTATTCTCTTTCTTTGTGAGCTCTTAGGAAAAGAAAGGGAATAGATTATAATAATATTGTAGCACCAATGCTATTGTGTTTGCAGTCGCCTTAGTCCGAGATAATGATTTGATTAGCATGGCTTTTTCACTTACTGGAATTAAAAATACATGGATTTTCCTGGGATTCTGTGCTTTCAGGATGATTTTTTTTTTTTACCTTCTTTCTTCAGCTGTATCTCTTTGCAGAGAAGTTGGAGGTTTAAAGTAGGTATAGAGCCTTCACTAATAGCCAAGGGCAAAAAATCAGTGCAGTGAGTCAGCACAGTAATTCCTGCAGATATTTGTGATGTGTCCTATGCAATACATTTGTTCAAAAGGGCCTTTGTTCCTTAAATCACTGATGGTAGTTCTTGTAAATGTTTTCCCTGCAATGTAGTTGCTGTAACTGAGGTTTGACATCTCCAATTTTGTTATTTGAATAGCTTCAAGAAGGCCTTGAAAATTCAAACATGCAGAATATGAAACACTTAACGAGAATATTAAAGATAAACCAATAGTTCATGGTGCAGTGAGGAAGCAGACTGGTTTAGTGGATTCTAGCAAATGGAAGAATTTTACAGGTGTTGAATTACATTTAAAAAAGTTTTATTGCTTTAATTAAATTGTTAATAGAGCTATATTTTCTAAAATGCTTAAACTTCTCCTCTCTTTCTTCTATAGCTTCTTTTGCTTCTTGCTGTATATAACACCCAGAAGTTAAGTGTGTTTGAAGTAGTCATAACAGATAAGCAGAGCTATTCCCTTTGTCAGGGTGGGGGGTAAAATCTTGATCCTACTGATAGCAGTGAGAATTTTGCTCTCAGCCTCAGGCCTTGAATAAAAAAAGCACCCTTTAGTACAGCTGGGTTTAAGTTTTCTAACAGAAGCAATTACTGCAGCTACTCAGGGACAGCTGTATCACACTTAGAATTTCAACAGGTTCTTTAAAGGGGAGCAAAAAAGATCCTTTTCTGAGTTAATTCAGACATTGCAAATGAAATAAAATCTTTTAGCTATAGAGCTTTGATTATTCCCCTGTTGTTCATTTTGCAGCAAAACTTGGTGTGGTTCATATATTTGATCTTTGTATTATAAAATCTTTACTCTTCTTAGTAGAAGAAAAAGATAAAATTATTTTTAGCTTATAAAATAGAAATAGTTTCATTTGTTGATAGAATTTGTTTGTGTTCTGTTAAACTTCTAGTGCTTCTAATTTTGTATTTCAAAAGGTATATATTTTATTGTGAAAATAATTTTTGCAACAAAGCAGTGCCTAGAGAGAATAAGTAATATCCACCCTCATTTCATCCCATGTACTTCTAATCTATATTAATTTTTTAGTTTATGGACTTGTGATAGGCCTTTTTGTTTTGCATATGTGAGTGATTTTCAGCTTATTTCTTTGCTTCAATAATTGCAAATGAGACCAGCTTTTACATCTTAGATTTCAGTTGTGCAGATTATATTCATGCTGGTGGTTTATCACAGCAATGTGTCTTCTCTGTATCACAGACAATAATAAATACAGCTTTGGCTCAAGAAAAGCTATTCTTTCTTGTCTCTGTAGAAATACTGCAGCACAGTCCAGCTTGATTCTGGAATAGACTACAGGAAACGAGTGCTTCCAGCTGCTGGAAAACTTTACTACCTGTAAGTTTATCTATGATATTGTATTAGCTTTCTTCTTCTTTCTTATTAGCCAAAAAATTCCTATTCAATGTGAAAAGAAAAATGTATGGTAGAATTAGCAGGGTGTGACTTTTCCTTTCTTTGCTTTCTGGTCCATTTTGTTCAGCAAACCGCCTTCCATTATGCCTTGATATTAACTTCATTAAACTACATTTTTGGTAACCACACTAGCATCATTTATAATGTGTGACTGAATAAAAACTAATTAGATTTTTTGGGGAGGTGTGGTGTTTGGAGAACTGAAGTGACAGATGGTTAGAAAGTAATGAATATCCTCTTGTAAGAGATTGCACAATTCTCTTATAATAGAAGAACATCTTTATTGTATTTAAGTAATTAAGTATTTATAGAAATCCAATGACAAGGATTTATTTAATTTTGGGTGTTTCCAATGCTGTGGATTAAAAAACCCAACACCCTTCTGTTTTGACAGATTGTTTCTGTTTATCATGACAAAATTTCTTTAGCACTTTATATTTGCAAATAAATATATTTTAAAATATATTCACAGTTGTGTTTCTGCTTGCAGCATGAATCTGCCTAGTAGGAACATCCTCTTAAATACTTTGAAACCTTTGCAATGCAAACATTTTTCTATCTTGTATTTTCTCTTGTAATATTATTTAATCAGTGACAACCTGAACCAAGCAGACTACAATAGCTTAATATTAGATTTAAAGCAGTTGTATCTTTAAAATACTGATTTAAAAATCATGTTTCCAATAAGAAACGTGGGGTATTTTCATCGGTGTGGCAGGTGTTTGAAACCAAGTATGTCCATGCTACTTTTTAATGCAGTTAGATGTGGTAGCTGTTTGTCTGGAAGGAGGAATACTGCTTGGTAGAACTACAACTGGTAACTCTTCCTGCTTTTGAAAGGAAGTGACAGAATTTCATATGTGGAAAACAGGTCCAGTGCAAGTTCGGTATCCTTAAACTGTGGCTATATGAACTTGAGAAAAGCAGCTCTTGTCCTGCATTCTTGCCTGGCTGCACTTGCTCAGTGCTTTGCCACACCTGCTCAGAAGTTCTTTCTGAAGGCACCGCCGATACCCGTGCTCATCACGGCCCTCGTTCTGAGCACTGCTGTCCCTGCCGTGGTGCTGCTCCCTGGGCCTGCTGCGCTCTGTGACCCTGTTGGACACTGGAGAGCACCTGCCACATGGTTATCTCACTGTCCGTACTCTGAAGAAAGGAAAAGGATGTTTATGGTTTCTAGCAGGTAATAGGCCACACATGGTGCCTGTGGTGTCAGCTCTCAGAGGAGAAGCAATATAAACAAGTTCCAGGAGTAGTACCCAGCCAAAATACCTCATTGTGTTCTGCTGTAAAACTTCTGATCAAGTGCATGGCAGAGATTGGCAATAATTCTGTCTTATGTTCTCTTACTGGAAGATGTTGGTTGCCTTCAGAACTTGATGTGCAAATCATTAAGAAGCAGTGGGGTGAAAAATTATTAAAAACCCCCATAGCTGCCAATGGAATTAGGTACTTATTTCTTTGTCCTTTCTTCTTCATTCATTCTTCTATTCAAACTGGTTCATTGAAGCTTTCAACCCTGTAGAACTAGTTTAGTATGTGGGAATTCCTTTTGTTTGGTTTGTTTTAAAATTAGGTACTGTGTACACTATTTTGCTACAGATTTCTAAAATTTAATTAGCAATCTTGTCCCCCCAAAGAAAATGTTCTTGTTCAACACGTATATGTTCTTCTATTAATGGCTATAGTATCATTGTCACATTTTTTTTAAGAATCCTCTTGATGCTTCGTATGTTGTCTAGTCCTGTCTTCATTTAAAACATGTAACTGAGGGTTACTTAAAGCTGTTTCATACTCATCTGAGAGCAGTCAGTGTAACACGATTACAAGATGCCTGATCAAAGCAACTTCATTGATCTCAGTCTCAGGTGTCTATTTTCAAAACAAACTTTCTTGGCAATTAGGTACAAATATCCACTTTAGCATCATATTCACCTGTTTCTTCTGGCAGCCTTTCAGTTGAAATTTCTGTTACTGACATGCATGCACATGCACATACTCTCTGAGATAGATACAGATATATGGATATATATATTTATACACACATGCACACGCTCTTTACCCCCTTTTATGGCCTTCTTTTTTCTGGTGTTGTCTGTTCTTTATCATTTTGTCAGAGGAATGCTTCACATCAATATCAATTTTGAGAGAAATGTCTAGAATTTTATGTAACCTCCTAGTCAGAAAAGGTTTTTAGCATCTTCAAAATGGCACTTGTATAAGTTTTTGAGTTTTAAAATTTTTTTCCCAAATTCTTTGTATCTACAATGTTTGTCATCATTAAGCTTTAGCTGAAAAGTAGTTTCTTCAGTTCTGCTGTTAACATTTTTAAGGTGCTTAAGGACTAATGAGCAGGAGAGTATTTGTTTAATAAGCTGATATTCATTTGTCAGTTAAGAGGATGTCTAGAATTGTGTGCAGCAGTGTAATTTCAGTGCATCAAGATCTATAAAATAAGATTTCACACCAGAAGAGTTTACACAAACTTCAGTGAAACATTATATATCCTAGTTCTAGTTTGTTGCCTACCATAACATTATTTTATTATTCTCAGCTAGAAATCTTATCTATCTATCTATCTATCTATCTCTCTATCTATCTATTCATCTTTAAGAAAAAGGCATGGAAAGGTTGGCTCTGCCCCATTCAGTGATTAAAAAAAAAGTTCTCTGATTGGACTGATTTTTTAATTCTTGTGGCCCAGAAGATGAATGTATAAGGCATGGAAAGGTTGGCTCTCTACCCCATTCAGTGATTAAAAAAAAAGTTCTCTGATTGGACTGATTTTTTAATTCTTGTGGCCCAGAAGATGAATGTAAACTTTACTTCAGCTATCAGCACAGATATTTTGCATTTCACCATCTGTGGTTGATCTTTTCCCAAGCAGTATAAGGAACAGAGGTTGGGAACTGCTAAAACTGCTAATACAGAGATGATAGTGGTATTTTTAATTTCACAGTTTAATATTGCAAATTGTTTGGTCAATATAATCGGTTGACTTAACACAGCACCATCCCCCCCACCCCCCCGCAAAAAAAAAAAAAATCTGTTTCAACATTTAATTTCACAAAGTCCCCTCTCACAAATTTCAAAGGATACTTCTTTAGGTGCTTGACTGCCTTGCCTTGCCTTGTCTATTTGCTCTTATTTTGCATGCAAGATAGAGCCAGAAGCTTTTTTCTCATTGTGTACACATAGTGTTAATGGGTCTGCTCTGCCTGTATTGCCTCATTACTGGAAACAGCTCAAAACACAGAAGTCTTTCAGTGTATGCAAATAAGGCAGAATCATCTACCTGAGAGTTAATATTCTCTACTTTTAAGTGTATTCTAAATGTAATGTTTGTATTTAGAGCATAACATCCTGTTCTCTTTTTTTTATGGGCAAAAAGCTAAGCAGGCTCAGGCAGCTGTTTGATGTTGGCTTCAAGTGTTATTAATTTCATATTCTATTATTCTTTTCACTGTAGCACAAGTGAAGCTGATGTGGAGGCTGTCATGGATAAGTTGTTTGATGAGCTGGCTCAGAAACAAAATGATTGTACGTAAGTTAATTTCTCTTGAAAGAGAATACATTTAGAACACAATGCCCAATCTCCACTGACCAATTAATAAGTTCCATTGCTGTATATGGGTTGATGCCACACTCAAGTGGCAGTCATTGTATCAGCATTTTGTCTAATTTATGTGTTGAATCATGTGCTATTATTCATGAAGCTATGCATTTCCTATCTGTAAGAGATGAATTTTATAGTAATTATCCAGAGAAGATTGAGTCTTTGTTCATGTTCCCATAGTAACTAGACCAAGGATTCTAAAAGTGCAAGGCAGAGAGCTGAGGCTGAATAAAGCATGTGGAACCATTGCAGACTTCACGTTTGAAGAGCTGTGCGACAGAGTGAGTACCCAGTCCAATCTAGATCAGTTAATGCTCGGGCTTTTCACAGTTAAAAAAAAATTTCAAACCACACAAACTTGCTATTTTCCCAAGATGCACTGAATTAAAAAGGCTTTTTTAAAAGAACAGAAATATTTTTAATTTAACAGGAAAAAGCCCCTTTTTTCAAAAGAACCATACTAATTTTCTTTTTAATGATATAGTAAATTCACTCTTAGGTGTATCACAGATTATCTGCAAAAATCCTACTGCAATATATGCCTGGCCTAACATCACTGCTGGTATATGAGTGGTGGTAACTTCTCAATGTGTAAATAGCAATCAAATGCTGTTTTTTAAATCTGGGGTTTCAGTTTGATACTCAAGCAAAGGAACAGTGATCCTGGCACCACTAGAGTAACACTCTCTTCCATGCTTTGGTTTCAGCTGCGTGTACAAGGAATGTTTAATCCTAGGCCTTCTCAAAATATGCCAGATTTTGCTAAATACTGGCACATTCTCTGCTTAAACATGTGAGATGTGAATCTTGAAAAGTTCTCCTTGTATTTGACCTCCAGTGGGTTGGAAGACAATTTCCCAGGAGTTGCACTGCACTTCAGTGATCTCTGTACTGATGTCTGAAGTTGCTGTTAAATGATCACAACCCTAAAGTGGGCCAATAGCACTTTTGATTCAGGATGGTGACCAGTCTTTTGGTGATAACATTTTGCTTTCACTTCCTTGCAGCTACGGAGTTGATAACTATTTGGACAGAAATGTCACTGGTTGTGTTTCAGACTGCAGGTTTTAGACCGTTGGTTTTCAGTTTCAGACAAAACCAATAAGCCATTTGTAAGAGTAGAGGTGTGTCATGGGTAGAATAGTTTGCTTTTCACTAAAGGTTTTGAGACTTTTTCTGCCTTCTGCCTCTTAAAGCATGGGGAAGCTATGCTGTCAGCAAATACTAGTACAATTCTTTAGTCCAGTAAATACCTTATGTACTTAAATGGGATAATAAGTTGCTTTTAAGTAGAAGTGCTCTGATTAGCTCACATGTCAGTGGTCTGAAGGTTCTCATCCTGTTCAAGAATTATTTGAGGTTCAGATCATTCTTACATGGATCACCCAGGACTTAGGAAATCTTGTCTCAATTCAGATACCTTCTGCAGAAGTGTTATGGTAGTCTCTTACAGCAAAATCACATGCTTAAAACTAAAACAACATGGCAGACAGTAAATGGTTTTCTTTTGACAACTTCCTCAGTTATCACTGATTTTTCTCTTTAGATCACTGATGTATCTTCATAAATATTACATCAGTATGTTGGTAAGGGGTATCAGTGTGCTCCCTTCATAGCAGAAAAGTATAGTCATGAACTTCAGAATTGTCTATTAAATTTAGGTGAATGGCCTGAGTTGCCTCCACTGTGATTTTTTTTTTCATTACTGTAAACTTTTGCAAATGATTCATAGCAATGATAGAAAATTTCACTCAGTATAAGCTGCATTTAGGACCTTGACTGCCCCATTGCTCTGTTTGCCTGACCTGCTGCCATTAAAATCTGCTAAAAGGAAAACTTCAAAAAAGGAAAAAGGCAGCTGTCAACCCATTAAACCCTCTTCTTTTTTTTTTTTTTCATGAATTCTTTTAAATTTTTGATGTAAAAATTTAAACATGCAGTGTCTTTTTTAAACAGTCAGAGAGGAAAATTGCTCCCACACATCACAGAAGACATAGGGAACATCCGGAAGAGTGCACTGGTGGTTTATAGCAAAAAATTACTCAAAATGAGGAGACATTCAACATGACTGGAAGTATAAAGTCTTCTGTATATATTCCAGTAAGCTTGCTAGTAGTGGGAGTGATTTGTGGAGGGATACAGCAGAAATCTGTAGGGGACATAGCAACAAGGTATTTGCTACTTCTTGTGAAGCCAAATGGTAGATAGGTTGGCGGGCATCATAAGTGCTGCCATTAAAAAAAGTAAAACAGAAAGCTGAAAAAGACGTAATGAAAAGCAAGATTGACAAAAGAAAATACTGGAGGGGAATTTTTTGGATTTGTGAGGAGCAGATCTGCAGATTTCTTTGTGCATGACATGGGGACAAAATCCCATGCGAAGGCAGATTGTACAAAGCGACATAGGGCAGGAAATCTTCCTTGCTGGAGCCTGTTGCAACCATGGTGAAGCTTAATTCAGCTCAGGCAAGCCTCCAGGTAGATAAATGAAATGTAAAGTTGGTGTTGTAGGAGCTCATTAAACTTGTAACAGAACTGAAAACAAGATTTGCAGTTGGTTTTGTAACAGTTTTAAGATGTGGTGACAAGCATGATAAATGGGAAATTCTCATTAATGGGGGAAAATGAGAGATAATTGCTATTATTGAAACCTTCTGGGACAATTCATAAAATAATAATACAGAATGGGTGCTTACAGCCTGCTTAAAGACAGAGTGGCTAAAAGAGGTGGAGAACAGTGTGCAACATTGAAGGTACTGGTACCTGCCTTGAAGTTAATTAATGCAAGGTTCTTGAGTATGTATCAGTCTACTAATTAACAAACCTGTAAGGAAAGTACTCGTAGGGATGTGTTGCAAATGGAACATGAGGTGGATTGCTCCTTGAGCACTTGGCTATAAGAAGCATATGAAGAAAATACACTGTTGTATGCTACACTGTAGATGAAACACAGGGAAAGGTGAAATGTAATTAGCTAGAAAACAGCAAATGATAATTTTCTAGCATAAAATGTACTACATCCAGTACAAGGTCATTTGGCTGGTGTTTACAGTGATGAATTAATCTAGAAATTTCTGTTACGTAGGAATAATCTTAATTTTCTAATGTTTAATGAAACCAAAAGAGATTCCAGACAGCGAAGTTGCGTATTTGAGTGTTTAGGAAGAGTAATTTTCAAAAGCAAAAGGTAAGTGTGACTAAATAGAAAGTGAAGTATAAACAACAACAACAAAAAGAGCAACACAAACCCAAGAAGGACTGAGGAGGAAGATAGTGAAAGTATTTCCTGTGTCACTGTTGAGACAGACTCAAATAATACAGAATGAATGGCAACTAGTTATGAAGTGCAGGAAAATGACGAAATAAAGATCATGGGCAAACATGACCAGTCAGATAAAAGACTTAAGTAAAATTGGAGTTTGGATGTTTTATATTATCTGAATGTTACTGGCTTATTCTTAGCTGGAGATGGATGAACATTTAATAACGATGTGGAAAAAGGGAAAAGTTTGGCAAAAGATAAGTGTTCTAGGTGAAGTAGAGTGAAATAGTAATTTTACTAAAGGATAGTGAAATAATTTTCAGTCTCTATGTAGTTAACATATGTTAAAAATAGCCTGCAAATACATTTTGTATTATTGGAATCCTGTAAAACTAGGCTGAAATCTCTGACTAGATTTTTATTTTTGATAAATGTTAAAGTGCAAGAGAAATTCCATGTCACTAGAAGAATGCTCTATGTGTCAGTATTAAAAAACAAACAAGTAAAATTCACCCATGCTTGTGATGATGGGTGGAACTGCAGGCTGTTGGTGAGATTTTAGTCCAGGAAGGGTAATGGAGAAGCTGATTCTGGATGCATACAATGGATGACTAAAGAATGGAAATGAAATTAATTCTCCAGTCTCCCTGACTTTATAGGAAGGGTTGAGTTTTGAAGATGCTATTCTTATTAGGAAAGTGGCATTATGCAGTCTCAAGAAAGTATTTTTTAAATGGGTTGCTAAGTTAGTTAATTAACCTATAAAAAGAAATATTGCTGATGGTTTTTTGTTTGTAGCATTTCTCATGAGCACATTTTTATACTAAGCCTGATGTAACTGTTTTTTTTCCCCAGGAGTTTTGAATATAACAAATGCGAATACAAACTTGCTGTAGATACAGAGTACTGTGTGTATGGGGGAGGAGCAATGAAGACAAGAATGCTGTGTGCCGTTTATTTCTTATCAGAACTGATATTTTGGGGAAAAGGTTGGGGTTTTGGTGGGTTTTTTTGGGTTTTTGTTTTCTGGGGGTTTTTTTGAGAGTTTGTTTCATTTTTGGGGTTTTTTTGCATTCAAGCAGACACAGCCTCCTTTTCTGTGTATTGGTCAAAACTGGATGCCATTTTAGGAGGAGGCTTTTGGGTTTGAGCTACATGCTAGTTTTTAGGCTTAGCCATCTCTAAAATGCAGGAACTTGAAGTACCCCATGATCTTTCCTGGTTTTAAAGTGCCTGAAAGTAGGGATGTGAGGGAGTCAGGGTCCCTGCTGCCTGTTGGCAGCTCTCACTTGCCTGCACATGCAGTGAAAAGTTCAGCAGCCAGCAGGGGAATGTGCCGAGTCCATCTTGAGGGAATAACCAGCTCTTATCTCCTTCATACTTCTGGGAGTAGGCAGTGTTTTTTAGTCTACAATCTGTGCAGTCAGATCAGACTGAGTTTTTCCAAGGCTTATAACTTCCTTGGGCTTGAGAGGGGTTTCACAGGAAGTATATGGGATGTTGCCACCATACCAAGCAACCTTTCTTCCAAATTTGACATATCTGGTCTGCATCATGGAAATACTTACAATTTACAGTATTATCCTGGAGTTGCAGAAGTATTTTTTGAGTTTTCTGAAACTGTTGTACACTGCTGCTCATGTGGGTGTCAGTAATCATTGCAGCATGAGTCAACAACGTTGTACTCAAAACTTGGTTAATTGATTCCTTTGGCTATCCGTTACCCCGAAGGGTTCCAGAAAAAAGAGTAAGTTTTGCAAGAATCAACATGTGAAATGATAGATGCTTTTGTTGTGTTGGCAAAATAGCTTATCACTCAAGTGACTCTGCTTTCACTTCATTGCTGCAATTCTGGTCTGGTCTTGGGTGACTGTTACAATGCATTCCAAGGGATAAATATCCAGACCTAAACATCTACATTTGCTGGTGTAGGATTAAGGAGATGTGTTTGAAATTTACATAGTGATTTTAGTAATACAATATTTCATATGAACAGCCTGTAAAACTTCTTTATTTTCAC